TCCTCCTCATAACCGCGGGGGACATCTCCCCGAATCCTGGCCCTCCACTACCTCCCTCACCCGCCCAAAACCCTCCCGCCTCCACGTCCTTGCACGCAACCCCCCCAACTTAGTATCTGTCCCCCTGCTCCCTAAAATCTTCCCCCCCGTTTTCATTGTGCACTCCTGAACGGCCGATCGTGTGCAACAAGCTTACCGCCCATCCACGACCTCTTTGTTTCCCGCTCCCCTCAACCTCCTGGCGATTACGGAAACCTGGATCCAGCCCACTGACTCTACCTCCCCTGCTGCACTCTCCTACGGCGATCTCACCTGGACCCACTCACCCAGGCCCAACGGTCGTAAAGGTAGTGGGGTTGGCCTGCTCCTGTCCACCGCTGAGCACCTTCCGAGTCCTCCCAAACCCCCCTCCCTATCCTCTCCTCCTTCGAGGCCCACTGCGTCCGACTATTCTCCCCAACCCCCCTGAAGATTGCTGTGATATACCGGCCTCCTGGATCCATCCCCCGCTTCCTGGAAGACTTCTCCTCCTGGCTACCCTTTGAGCTACCCACTATCATCCTTGGGGATTTCAACCATCCCTGTCAACCTCGACAACCCGGACACAGCCCGTCTCCTCCACTTAACCTCCCTCCTTTGCACTTGCACAGTGCATACAATTCACCACCCACTCCGACGGTAATATCCTTGATCTTGTCTTCTCCAACCGCTGCGAAACCCCCCCACACCCTCACTAACACCCCCTTCCCTCTACTCTGACCACAACCTGATTACCTTCTCTATCTCCTCATCCTCCAACCGCCTACCCCTCCAAATGTCACACTACAACCTACCCGTAACCTCCGCAACCTTAAACCTGCCTCCCTCCACTCCGCAGTTGTGGATCAACTCCATGACCGCATCCTCCCCCTGTCCTGCCCCGACTTGGCTATGACCGCCTATGCGCTGTCAACAGCCCTTGACTCACTAGCGCCTTTAACCACACGCAACATCAGACCCCGGCTCCAGCCCTGGCAGACTGATCACACCAAAACCCTCAAACGACACAGTCGAGCCCTGGAGCGACTATGGGCAAAACCAAATCCCAACAAGCCTTATCTGCCTACCACACCTACACCTCCTCCCTCCATACTGCCAAACAAGCCTACTTCCCCCTGACCCTCATCAAGGCCCTCTCCTCCAATCCTCGCCGACCTCTTCTCCACCTTCAACCTCTCTACTCTCGCCACCCCCACCTCCACCCAGCACCTCACTCACTGCCCTTGAGATTGCCAATCACTTCAAAAACAAGATTGACACTTAATTCGCAAGGACATTGCCGCAACTCACACGCCTTCTCAACCCGTCCCCTGCTCACACAGCTACCCCCTCATCCCCCCCTCCCCCCTCGACATAACCCACAGGGACTTCATCGCTGCTTCCTCCAACCCCCTTTTCACTCAGCTACCCCCTCTACACCCCTCTCCCACGGCCCCACCACTGCTCTGACCTCCTCTCCCACCCCACCCTACATTCCTCATACTGAAGCTCCCCCAACACTCCGCACCTTTGACCTTACTACCATCGAAGAAGTCTCCAAGATCCTCTCTGATGCCCGCCTCACCACCTGCCCCCTTGACCCTATCCCCTCACAACTCCTACAAACCTCCCTCCCCCTCCATCCTACGCTCCCCTCACTCACATCTTCAATCTCTCCCTCTCCTCCGGCACTTTCCCTTCCCCTCTGAAACATGCACACATCACCCCCATACTTAAAAAAGCCCTCCCTGGACCCCAATGACCCGAACAACCTCAGACCCATCTCCCTGCTCCCCATTTACATCTAAACTCCTCGAGCGCCTAGTCTATACGCCCGCCTATGCTCTCACCTCAACGATCCTCGATCCCCTACAGTTCCGTCCCCCTACACTCCACCGAAACTGCCTTACTCAAACTCTCCAACGACCTGCTAACCGCCAAAGCTAATGGCCACTATTCATGCTCCTACTCCTTGACCTCTCTGCGGCCTTTGACACAGTCGACCACCCCCTCCTCCTCAAAAAAAAACTACACTCCCTCGTCAGATTTATATTCTGCTCTCTCCTGGCTCTCATCCTACCTGTCACAACGCTCTTTCAGCGTTACCTATAATGCCACCACCTCCCTCTCAAACTCCCCCTCTTCTGTTGGGTTCCCTCAAGGCTCTGTCCTCGGGCCCCCCTTCTCTTCTCCATCTACACCTCCTCCCTTGGCCAACTCATACACTCTCACGGCTTCAACTACCACCTCTATGCCGACGACACACAAATCTATCTCTCAACCCCCCACCTCACCCCCTCGGGGGTTCTCCGCCCGAATCACACACCTGTTTAGCGACATATCAGACTGGATGTCGCTCCACTTCCTTAAAATCTCCAAAACCGAGTTTCTTGTCTTCCCTCCAGCCCGGACACCACCCCCCATTGACTTCTCCATCATGTCCAACAACACCACCATCAAACCCGCCCCGCTGGCCAGAGTACTTGGTGTCATTTTGGACTCCAACCTATCCTTCCAGCCCCAAGTCCACTCTTTAACAAACTCGTGCAGACTCCACCTCCGCAACATCGCCAAAATCCGCACGTTCCTAACTCCAGAAACCACTAAACAGGCTCATCCACTCCCTCATCATATCACGACTCGACTACTGCAACTCCCTCATCACTGGCCTGCCTCGCCGCTGGCTATCCCCGCTTCAGTCCATCCTGAATACGGCTGCCAGACTGTTTTGCCCCCCCCTCTGCCAATCCCTCCACTGGCTTCCGATTGCGCAACGGATCAAATTCCCAAAATCCTACACGCTGACGTACAAAAGCTGTCCACCATACTGCCCCGAACTACATCACTGACCTTCCAAGTACCGCCCAGCACGCACACTCCGCTCCTCCTCACAAGACCTCTCCTTCTCTCTAGTTCCCTGGTCTCCTCCTCCATGCCCGCCTCCAGGACTTCTCCAGGGTGTCACCCATCCTCTGGAACTCCCTTCTGCCCCAACCCATCAGATTATCACCTACTCTCCTCCTCCTTTAGGCGCACCCTGAAAACCCATCTCTTCAGGGAAGCCTACCCCACCCCCTGCTAACTCATCCGACCTCCTCCACTCTTCCTACCACTTGACCATCCCCCACAGCTATCTCCTCCTGTACCCCAACTATCCCCTCCTCCTATAGATTGTAAGCTTGAAAGAGCAGGGCCCTCGATCCCTCATGTTTTGCATTGTATTGGTATTGTTCTGTCACATGGTCTGTCCCCCTTTATAATGTACAGCGCTGAGCGAACTATTGGCGCTTTATAGATACTGTATAATAATAATAATAATAATAATTGAAGTTGTCTTTGCCACCTGTATACCACCGGAAAGGCCCCCAACTAAGCTAGCAAAAGTAATCATCTGAGACTATTCCATCTTGTCCTATCATACAGGACATGTATTTTGTTTCACAATTTATATTGTTGGGGGTTGCTCTATTTCTCACAACAAAGCCCGGGAAGCAAATTTGGGCTTATCAGGACCACCTTGAAGTCTTACGTACAGCCTAACCTCTTGATATGTTATTTAGGTTTATTATTTGTACTTATTTTTTGTGTTGCTGCCTTGGCTATGTTTCTTGGTGGTCTTGTCCTAGCTGGGGTGATATCTAGGCCAGACACCTTTAGGGTTACTCTCCAAAGTCAAAATTGTTACAGTATATGACAAAATTGTATTATAATGGTGTGTTATAAGTTCATTATTGCAAAGCTGTACATTTAATATGATTAGGAGTAGGAAAGTTACTCCACCACGTAAAAGAATATGTAAACTCAAAATTTCATATTCCTGGTATGTGCCTGCATTACCATGTACTTGTATGAAAAAAGTATCCTGTCTTCTTTTTATTGCTCCCTTTGTATGAAATACATGGTGTTCCTGCCAGTCTCTCTGCTTTCCTAATAAAAACTGACCACACTAGGCATGAGAGAGTACAGCGTGGTCAGTTCTCTAGCGTTGCTGGAAACAAAGTGTGCTTTCCTCCAATGGTCAGATTTCTGTTACATGCCCCACCCCCGTCTTGCATAGCTATTCAATGGGAAGATCAGTGTACTACTGTTTCCCCTCCCCTAGCTCTTATGCAGCAGAGAAAAGAAGGAATGTGATCACTTATAAAGAAAGGAAAAAAGATGTATATAATTTTTTTTTTATGTCTACACACAAATGTTTTGTCTTTCATTTCTATTTTAAACTGAATGGGTTGTTGTTTTAAAAGGCGTGGGTTTACAATAGCTTTAGGCTCAGTAAAGGAAATCAAGTTTTTAAAAGGATTACCAAACTAACGGCTTCTGCGGGGGTGTTCCACATATGAAAATACGGGGGCACAAGCGGTGTAGCAGTGTCATAATTTGCTAAGAAACAAGCAAATCTTTGTAGTAAATGCGAAAGGTCTCGATGTGCAAAGTTTTCCAGAGATAGTACTGTAGCAGTGAATTCCTCTCCACCCTTATTCCTGGATTACAATCACTTTCCACTGTAGCTCATCCTAGCTGTTATGATTTACGTACTGGATAAAAAAAAAAACTATAATAAACCCCTTAAACAAAGTGACCTAACAGTTCACACAGCACCTCCTGGACACGTAAGGTATTCTTCTCAGTCATTGCGTGCCCCTAAAGTATTTTTTTGTATAATGTGCAGCATTTTTGGGGGATTACGAAAGCAGCAAATGAGTAGCTGTCTGCAGGCCATGTGACAGGGCTGCCCATAAATAGCCCAGACTGGTTTCCGTTTGTTTTGTAGGAATTAAAACCTCCTCTCTCTCTCTCCCCCCCTCTCTCTCTCTCTCTCTCTCTCTCTCTCTCTCTCTCTCTCCCCTCTCTCTTTTTGTTAAGTCAGGAAATTATTTGCATGCAATCCACATGAGCATACAAGAGCAGCTTGGGAGATGTCTGTGTGCTGAAGCGCTGCTCTCCTGATGATGTGGTATAGGAAACAAGAATTCCTTTAAAGGATGGCTATCCGAGAGCTGAAAGTTTGCCTTCTGGGGGTGAGTGTGTTGTTTAAAATTGGTTTTAAGAGAAGGATACGGGTGGGATGACGGTGTACAAAGGAACAAAGTTCCTAACCGAAGAAGGATATTGGCTTAGGGATTCTGTATCGAACACTGATTATAAATTCAAGTCACTGGCAACTGTACTTGGCTCATATTTGTATGCATTCTTCCACCAGTAATGCACAGTGCAGAACTGCATCTTAAAGAATAAAGGACAGGAAAGGTATTGCTCAAAAGAGACGACGGGTGCGCTACTTAAACAGTGGCCTTACAGTGAAAATTTCCATCTTGCTTTTGTCTTTTTTTATTGTTCTGTACAACATTCAACCACAAACTTTGATTCTGGCAGATGTTATTGAGGAACGCATGTGTTGGCAGCTGTGTACAGTTTTCCTTTTACTCTTCTATTATTATTCTCAGTGCCAGGGTATTGTTCACTTTTTAAAAATACTCAGCTTGTATATGCAAAAAACCTCTTAGCTTTAGCAAGTAGAAAATGTCTGATTTAAAGACTAACTGCAAGAATGTAGTAGTTACTGGATAATGACTTTCTAAAACTCATTTTATGTTTTTATTCCCAGCATTTAAGACTAGCCATTGTCATAGGTGCTGTTAAAGCTGAACTCCAGGCAAACATTTAAAACAAAAAACCCAAAAGCAAAAATGTATTATATTACAGCTTACCAATTATTAGATGTGGTAATTACATCAGTTTTCTTTTCTTTGGCTTTTTTCCCTTAGTTTTTCCCTGGCGAACTGGCCAGTAACCCACCTCCTTTATTAGTGAGATACCACTCTGGATGAATGAGCACAGGAGGCACAGCAGAGAGCACCATTGCCAGTCAGGGGGGAGGGGAGTGTTAAATGTATTAGTAAACTAACAAATTAAAGCTAAACTCCAGCTTTTGCTTTTTTTTCCCCTTAGTTTTCCCCTGGTGATCTGGCCAGTAACACACTTCCTGTATTAGTGAGATACCACTCTGGATGAATGAGCACAGGAGACATAGCAGAGAGCACAATTCCCAGTCAGGGGGGAGGGGAGTGTTAAATGTATTAGTAAACTAACAAATTAAAGCTAAACTCCAGCTCCCACTTTATAATCAGTTACAGCAAACTTTGTTTTTTGCCTTTTGGGACAAAGGTTTTACATGAAAAATAAAAGCTGATCATTTTATACACCCCTGCCAGTGTTAAATGGATTGTCTCATTCATGTAAACTGATACATTCCGCTGGAGAGCTTGAGCTTTTGGAAAACAGTAGACCTGTTGGGTGGATAACCAGATGAAAATAGAAGAAAGAAAGACAAAAAGAAAATGAATGCAGCTATCATGTCTAAGAATTGGCAAGCTGCAATGTAATAAATGTTTGCTTTTGGGTTTAATACCACTCTGCATACAACAATTAAATAATTATTTCTGTTCATCTAATCCTGAGATTTACACAGCTTTACCACTTGCCACAGTCCCGTCTAGCATAAAAGTGGCCTGATCTTTCTTTGATGCAGTTTCAGTTTCACTTACAGGTCTCCTAAACTGTTTCTGGACAGTGAAAGAAAATTACAGTGCCTTGAAAAGTATTCATACCCCTTGAAATGTTCCACATTTTGTCATGTTACAACCAAAAGCGTAAATGTATTTTATTAAGATTTTATGTGATAGACCAGGAAGTGCCTAAACTAAGACCTTCATGGCAGGATCATAAGGTATCATTTCAATGAAAGCCATAGATTTCAAAAGATTGAAAACAACTTTTGAAACTACATTAACATGGCAAATGATTGGGTCCAAACTTACTTAAAGTGTTACTACGCCCACAACAGTAAAATCAGCCTGTATATGCAGTAAGGCATGCTTGTTATACTCACTGTGAAACCTAAGGGGTCAATCCTTTGCATTGTGTTTAAAATGGTGTTTGATCCTGACTTCTCTGATCCCCCCCTTCTTCCTGTGTCCCCCTCTTATCCCCTGATAAGACATATCCTGTGGAGACACTCTGCACATGCTCAGTTTGGTGTTTATTGCTAGAGAAGTTTTTTTTTCTTGGGAGAGTGCATGTGATCAACACAGTGCCAATTAGCACTGTCCAAACAGAGGTCAGGGGTTCTGCATCCTCCTAGAGCAAAATGAAAACTCCTCCTATAAGCTTTAACCAGTGCTGTACTGGACACTGATAGAAGTCACAAGACTGCTCTAACTGCTGATGAGAAAAGGTATTTAGCAGTTTATATTTACTAAAGTAATCACACTTCCACGTTATGTGTACTGTGGGAGACTAGATATAGTGAATGCAGGATCCTGGGTTTAGTAACACTTTAAGGCCTCATGCACATGAGGCCAAAAAAACAAAAGTACTGCTTTTTTATTTTTTACATTGGCTAGAAATGTTGGCTTTGATCTGTGTATGTGCGCTAGGTCAATGACACCAGAGACAGCCAAGTATCTTGCAGTTTTGAAACAGGTTAGTAGTGGTAGCCACCATATTTCTTTCCCTTTAAAGCTGATTGCTGGCCTTATTTCCCACCCTCCACTAAACTTTAAGCACCTTGCTCAAGCTAACTCCTAATTAGATTCTTTAAAAATAAAACTGAATGTCCCAATTTGTGGTTTTGTGACAATCCAGGTTCCAAGTCTACTTTCTTCTGCATTAAATTGTAAAAGGGTACTTCTTCAAGTGGCCATGTCCGTGTATGGTGACATGAACACTTGCTATTGGCTATCCATCGTTGGGGTCCTCACATGATCCCAAAGGCTTCAGCTATGTGATGACATCATGATGAGGAGCTTCAAAGAGGCCAGTCAGCAGTGCACTAGAAGATAGAACTGCTGCATCCTAACCTACAGAAGTGGTACCAGTGGCACCACTTCTGTAGGTTAGGATTCAGCAGTTCTAGTGACTAAGCATCACGACTGTGAACCTGGGTAAATAAAAAATGTTTCTTTTTTAATTGCATATTACTCAGAGCAGAGTGGTTGGAAAGGATAACTACTTTTCCCTGGAGACAGGCTTTAGAACATAATTTATACCTGAAGGTAAAACATTCTTAGAGTTAGGTATCATATAGTCCTAATGCAATAGACATGAAGTCTTGAGACCTGTGGTAATAGTATATGCCACCAATTATCTCTGGACCATAGTAAAAGCCCTAATAAGGAAAGCTAGTACAACTCAAAAGCCCTATGGCCTGTACTTATTGACTGTTACATGCACTGTGGAAGAATGGCGCAACAAAGGCCTTTAGCTCTCCAGAAAGGTCCTGGTGGCCAATGCATCATGAACGCGAAGCAGTAAACTGTCAGGATTCAAGTGGAAGTTTCATCAGATGAGGGTCAGACCCATACCAAGTAGAGCTTATCCATTGATCAGTAAAGGAAATATGTGTAGCAGGCAGGGGCATAAGCAATAACAATTTAGTAGTGTATTCAGAGAAATAGAGTAAATAAGTTCTGGCCAGGTCAACAGTGTGTTTATAAGGTGCAGCGCTAGATTGTTCAATTAATGCATTAATTCATCATAAAAATAAAGTGACGTGACATAGTGCCAAAAAATACATATACACACAGTGACTTTTGTGATCTCATATAGTCTGTCACTATTAGAGTGACCAATGGTGATAATACTAGAATAATAGTCCCAATGAAGAGTATGAGAGATCAAATTCTCTCTAATAAATGGTGCTCCATCCAAACTGTGGTGAAATGCCCGATAGTGTGTAAAAGCTGTGCACTCACCAGATGCACAGTTTATCTGCGCATTTAGAGAAAATAATCTCTGAAGACTCCTGTATGGATGGATCAGGTCTGGTCAGGTGTACCCCTCACTGCTCTCTTCTACTGGTATTGTGGCTCACTCTCCCCTTATATGCAGCTCTGTGGGTTGGCGATAGCTCACAAGGAGCACAAAAAAGAGGAGGCCAATAGCGTGATACCATTTTGCATATGGTATATATTTATTCCAGTAAAGCAGTACAAATAGGGAAAAGACAAAATCACTGACCATAGGTTGGATTCCAAGATGGCCGCCGGGACCCACGTGGTGCCGGCGGCGTGACGTCAGAACGCTGTAGCTCCTCCCTGGCGTGTTTCGTGCTAACCGCACATAATCATAGGGGGTGTGCAAACCAATTCATGCAAGCTGGTTAGTAACAGGTGTCAAAAGATCAGGTTAGGTGGCAAATTTGTTTAATAATAATGTGTGCCTGTCGGTGTTTTATACACCCAGGAGGCACAGGTGCAGCGTTCAGCAACAAGTCTATAGCAGCCTGTCCATGTCTATAGCAGCTTAATTTACACATCACATATCTCCAAACATCACCCTCGAAAACACAGCTTTGTTTCTTATTTTTGATGAGGAGTATTAGCTAATACCTCAATTCAGAATTGCTTTCCTGGGTAAAGCTAACATGCCGGTCTTTTGTAAGTACTGTTCACTTCTCTACAGCCGACAACCATGCTCATTGTCACTGAATGCAATGAATACCAGATCCGCTGCTCGGCAAGTGGAAATTAAGTTCTGTTTCTATTACCCATGTCTAGTACAGACATGGCTTGCATGCACTTCAAGCCTTTCTGTTTTCGCAGTCCCATTGCTGGGGCCTTACTCTCTCTCCTCCTACCAATTCTCTTCCACCAGCTCCGTGTGCACCAGTCTCTCTGATGGCTCCAGACCTCCCAAGTTCATCCGTCATCACTGAAGGGTTGTCACGATACTTCATTAGGGACAAGAAACGCTTCTCCATTTGTAAAAAAAAAAAACCTGGAACTTTATTCACCAGACAATTAAATACTCAGAAGCAAATAATCTTGAAGCACAATTAAACCCCACAGGTAACATCTTTCGGACACGAACTCCAAGAAGTAATGGTCCCTACAGTCTGGCTCTCACCATCCACATAATGCATTTCAAAGGTAATAGGTCCTTCTTCATCATGGGGGTGGGTAGCCAGGCTCAAAAACTCTTATATAAAATCACATTTTGCTGTTACCTTTTGTAAAAT